AATTAAGAACAAACTCAAAAGTTAATGACAGTTATGTTAAATAATTTTGATGAACAATTTCAACAATTGTCTTGCTGCAGACATAGCAAACTGAGTTAGTTGTTCAAGACTACAGCCACACAGTTCTGCCAGATAAACTCTGGAGGCAAGAGTGAAGGAGGACAATTTTTATATCCTCAATGAATTTTTGTTGAAAGACTGAAAGATAACAATTCAGTAGACATTAAAGAGTCTTTGGTGTAGGCCCCGTCCTCTGTCCAGGTCTTGGAGCATCGAGACCCTCACTGATCCTGCCGGATGGGGACGGCAGGGGCGGAGCCTACCCCCGGAAAACCAGACTGGGACCCAACTGGTGGTGGTCGGGAGGAAGGAGGGGAACGTCAAAACATGGGCACCTGAAAGCAGCAGCATTGGCACGCAAGTTGAGTCATTTTAAAGACAGGTGTAGGCTCATGATTGGTCAGGACCAATGAATGAATGATGCAGCATTAGAGTCTTCCTGGCAGAACTTCCGCTAAAGCTTCCATTTCTCCTTAATACAAAATGTACTTCTGCACTTTGACCAAAGTAAAAATATATAACACACATATGCCAAAAGTCATGGGACAGGAACTAGTATCATGGAGGATCCCCTCTAGCCTGGCAAAGTGCGGCAACTTGATGGACACAAGATGTCTGGAGGGATTTTGAGCCATGTCTGCATAGCAACCCACAGCTCAGTGGCATTTGTAGGTGCAGGATCTCTGGTGTGAAGGGACCTCTCTACCACATCCCACAAATACTCGACTGGGGCAAATGTGCAGGCCACATCATTTGCCAGAACTCTCTAGAATGCTCCTCAAACCAATGCTAGACAACTTGGGCCTGATGGCCTGGAACATTATGCTGCTGGAATATCCCATCATTATTGGGGGGGCCTGAAGTACTTAAAAGGTTGCAAATGGTCATCAAGCAGTGAAATGTAGCAGTCACTGGTCAATGACGTGTTAGGGTGGACCAGTGGACCCAACCCATGCCATGAGAACACACCCTGCACCAGCCTGCACAGTGGCTCGTTGACAACTGGGGTCCATGACTTCATGGGGTCTGCACCACACACACACCCTACCATCAGCCTGAAACAATTGGTACCGTGACTCATCGGACCACGGCACATGTTGCCAGTCCTCTAGGGTCCAGTTAGCAACCTCACAAGCCCAGGGGAGGCACTGTGTTCGGTGTTGTGGTGTTAACAGAGGCACTCTGGTGGGTCTTCTTCCACCACATCCCATGGAAGCTAAAGAACGCTGCACTGACCTGCAGGATATGTGTGTGGGGCCTCCTGCTTTGAATGTGGATGTGATTTCTGCCAGTTGCCTGTTCGCACGGACAATTCGAGCCAGATTCCACTGGTCACCGTCATTAAGCACCCGTCCATTATTTTAGTTTAAGGACCCTAATGTCAGTACAATGTCATTTATATGTTATCTTGTGATTATTGGGATAAGCTCAAGTACTGCTTTATCCTGCTTTTGTGTTATTCAATGTGTGTGTGTTTGTTATGTTATAGGCAACATTCAAATAAAGTGTTCCCTTTTACTTTAAGGCCTCTTATGTCAATGCAGTATTATTTACTTCATAAACATGTCATCTTGTTAATAATTACACATGTTGTTCAAAAATAATCAAGTATTGCTTTTAAAATATTCTATTTGGTGGTTTTACATGTCTTATAACATATCTATATAGGTAGCCTTCAAACATAGTGTTCCTGAAAATAGAATTTAAAAGCAAACTTTTTTGGTGACTATGGTTCCCTTTTAAAGGACTAGGAGAGCAGAAAGGCAATATGGATGTGACTAAATAAGCGTAGTTAAAGTACCAGTGACACCAACTTAGCTACTTGAACTTTAACTCTTCTGTCCACTCACATTACCCTGCAAATGCCTCATAGCCATAATAACAGGGAGGACGTAGAGGCCAAGAAGGCCAACCAGACAGAAATAAAACAACCACACTGCACCAAGATTAGTATTGCAGAAGTGGGAAAGAACAAGTGCATGCTGGGAATTGGCACATAGTGTCCTATAATAGCATCAAACTTAAAAGTCTGATGACGAAAGCATGCTTCATCCATGTTACAGACATTTCTTCAGAACAGAGTAGAATGTATAGAGTGCCAGAACTGATTTCCTCTGTTTTTGAATGTTTGTCACACTAAATAGTTGTAGATCCTCTTAAAAAATGTAAAATACGACAATAAGAACAGGAGGAAAAACAAAACACTGTTTTTAATGATGTAATAACTGTTTGTGCCACCTCCAGCAGCAACAACTGCAACCACATTCTTCCTGTAGCAAGAGATCAGTCTGTGATATGGTGTAATTTTGGCCCTCTCTTCTTTGCAGGATTGCTTTTACTCAGTAGCACTGAAGGGGTTTTTGAGCACAGAGTACCCATTTAAGGTTCTGCCACTTTTTCCACTCCCAAACCTTAACTTTGTTTCTTCTAAGCCATTCAGAGGTGTACTTGCTCTTGTGCCGCAGATTGTTGTCTTTTTATATTACCCAACTGCACTTCAGATCATTAACTGAAGACTGGAATCACAATTATGACAGTTATGTCTACAGCAAGTCGCCCAGGCTCTGAAGCAACAAAGAATCCCCACACAATCACACTACCACCACCATGTTTCACTGTTGGTATGATGTTCTTATTGTGGAATATAATGTAAGAATTATACCAGATGTAACAGGACCTCTGTGTTCCCTTTTAACTAATCTGTCTACAAAACATTATTCCAAAAGGCTTCTGGGTCATCAAAGTGTTTTTGTAAAATTTGAGACAAGCCTTTATGTTCCTTTTAGTTAGCGGTAGATTTTTTCTAGCGACTCTCATGGATACCATTTTTGCCCAGTCTCTTTCTGTTGGTGGAATCATAAATACATTTATCTGTGTATATAATGTATTATGTTTAAATATCTTAATAAATGATAATGAATAATAATTCACTTATCAGACAGAGGCACATGAAGTTCTTTGCTTCGTATGATAACAAAAACAAGCTGTAATACCACAACACCCACCCCCCACCAACATGTCTTATTGTGTCCAAGAAGAGGAAGCAAGTTACAAGACAAAGTTCAACAGAGGCCAAACAGGAAATATGTTTGTGTGCACACTTGCAAGCGACAGAGGTGCAGTCAGATACACCAACTACTCAGCAACAGAATAGTTCTTATCTTGTGTAAATCATGTGTGCGTGTTGTATGACCACAGTGGGCTGCCCAGAGCTTCCATCGAGACTTATCTTAGCTAAAGCTCCCATTAGTAGTGCAGAGAGTTGTTAATGGCAAGTCAACAGAAAGATAGCCTCCCCTTCAAACAATGACCTAAGCAAGACTGTGGCCCTTCAGGACTGGCAAGTACACTTTATTAGGTACATCTACCTTTTCTCTACACTCACTGGCTGTTTAATCAGGTGCATCTACCATGTAGGTGCATTGAGGTTCTACATTTACAAGCCAATGTCCAAAAAAGCCCAGAAACACTTGCACAAGCTATGATTTTAAATGTTTTAGAACATGTGGATATTATTTAGATGGATACTGATTCCTCTGTACTCCACTGCTTGGAATCTGTTCTCTGTGTTTCTTATCAATCTCATTGTCCCGCACACATCACTGTGTACTTCATGATCAGGTTTCCTGGCCTTCATTAAGCCTAACTTTTCATAAATCATTACAGAACTATGCAATAAACTGTAAATGGTTTAAATGAGCATAAAGTATATTATGTAATTTTATAAGTGCTCAATATGAACCTCCTCCAGCTGTACAGACAACATCAACACCATAGTCAAATTCATCCCATACTCCATTGAGCATGTCGGGTGTCTCTGTACTCACGGTTCTTTCAGTGCGATTTCAGAGATTATTCAGTGTTGTGGAACCAACGACGAACGCTTTGAGCTGTTGGAGGTTCACTGCCAACGGAAATCATGCTGCACAGTTATGACAGATTCAGTGGATGATGTAAAGCACTTTCTCCATCTCCTCTCAGACTGAAGGGAGCCATCTTCCAGTGACAGTCAGAAACTCTATGATTCCTTCTTTCAATTGATATGTGATTGGTTCCTAGGCAACTCACAGTTGTAAAAATATGGCACTTTTAAATTGATTGAACCTTTTTGAATCGCCCTGTATATTGCTGTTGTCAGAAAAAACACTGTTTTGTATTCTGAACATGTGCCAATGTCTTTATTGTTATGTTTCATTTCATTTCATTTTCATGAGATCAAAATTCATGCTAAACACTGCAAAACAAAACCATCCACAAAATCATGTAATGTGACTTGGGGATCTTTTGTACATGACTGTAAATCATTTTACCTTTTTGATTTTGAAATCGTTTACCTTTTTTCCGTAGTAAATTTAAAGTAATTTAAAGTAAAACAAAATGCAGTAACCTTTAGAAGCTAAATATGTAAATAGAAAAAATGAGGTCTCAAAAATATGTTTTCTGCAAATTTACAAAATTAGAACCAAAATATTGCAAAATGGAGACGTATGCAGTAATTTGGCTGACTACAACAACCATTAACACAGTAAATGTTCATTAAAATCAAATCTGTGTGTGGGGTTAGGTAGCTATGTGTGAATATGGGTATGTGTGTGTGTTGGGGCTATGTGTGTTTGTGTGTGTGTGCGTGTGTGTGTCTGTGCATGTGTGTGTGTGTGTGTGTGTCTGCCCACATGTGTGTATGGGGGGAGTAAATGTGTGTGTTTGAGGGGGTAAATGCATGCTTGTGTGTACATATATGTGTATGTGTACATGGTTGTTTGTATTTCTGTGTTTGTGTGTGATAATATGTGTGCACGTGTGTTCATATGTGTGTGTATGTGTGCATGTGTGTGGAGGTAAATGTGTGCATATATATGTGTGTATGTTTGTGTGTATGTTTGTTTGTATGTGTGTGTGTGTGTGTATGTTTGTGTGTGTATGTTTGTATGTGTGTGTGTGTGTGTGTGTGTGTGTGTGTGTGTGTGTGTGTGTGTTAATTCAGTTTGATGCTGGCGTATTCAGTAGTTTCTTCAGTGTCTAACAGTACAGTTGCTGGTGTTGATCTTTTGCTGTGGACTACAGTAGAATACGTCACATCATCCTGCAGAAATAACACATAAACACATCAGGTAACACTTCAGCAGCATAATACTATTTAACATTATTTAATGAGCTTAATAAGCCTTAACACGCCATTAGTTAGAAACTAACCAGCTGCTTATTACTACATTATTAAGCAATAATTAGGGTGAAATTAGTATCTTTCAAAGCCCTTTAATTTGTGTATATCGCTGTTGTCGGAACAAAACCCTTTTATCTCTAAAATGGTAAATTTACAGGAGAAGGAAAAAAAACACTTTCATTTTAATGTAAGTCAATGGAACCAGAGTTTTCTCCAAGTCTTTTTGGACAGTCTTTTTTGGATTTTTTTTCTTTTGGAAATTATGTTAAAAACTGAAAAACAACCAAATGGAGATATGAGGTTTTCTTCTGACAACAGCGATATACTATTGAAGTAATATGCATCATACATTAAAGGTCAGTCTTGTCTTGTTTTCAGACTCTGATTTTGCTTGTTTTCTTGAGACCAGTGGAGTACAAGATCTCCTTTATTTTAATTTTATTGTCATTGTATTTTTTTTTTTCTGTAAAATACTGAGTAAACTAGAGTGCATTTAAACTTTACACTATATAATATATGGATAAAAATGATCTGTTTAATTCAGTCTGGTTGCTACTGGATAATTAACAGCCATTTAGATATTGGCTTGATAAGTTGCTTAACAGTTGTTCTCTTCATAAGGCTTAATAAAGGCATAATGGACACCAAATATGCAAAAGTTTATGATGTACAACATACAAATAAAGGTGCTTTAAAAAACGTTTATTTCATGAGCAGCTTCTACTGGCTTGTTGGGCATTAGAATGTCCCCATATACTGAGGTGTTAGGTACATGTAGGAAAGAGTAAACATACAATTGCAATATTACTCACGTTTTCTTCAACTTTTTTGCAGTTGTCTTCTTTATTTATAGCATCGTACAGCACTTCACAATTATTCTGCAAGAACACAAATTCAGCAAATTGTACAGATTATGAGCTACAATGAATATAAAGAGATTACAGTAATACCTACCTTGTAACTACACTAAGGACTCCCAAAGTCAGTCCTTGGGACCCCATGCTTTGCAGATTATTGTGTTTTCCCACCTCTTACATGAGGAACCATATACAACAGGTTTTCCACCATTGAGAATAAGCATTTAACCATGCATAGAACCCTGCATGCATTGAAATATGTGATTCTATATGTAACCGTTCTTAACAGTATACCATACAGGTGCACTTTTAAGGTTTAAATTCACTGACTGTAGCTCACCTGTTTTCTGAAGACCAGTCAAGTGCAAGACCTCCTGTATTTTATTTCTAGGTATGTTTTTACATTAACATAAATGCTCTGCAAAAAATCCCAGGCTTATTACATACTAAGGCTTATTATTCAGTAACTACAGGGACTTCAGTGAAAACTGGCTGAGCTATTCTTAGGATACAGAAGTGTGTAATAAAACTTTGGGTCCTCCAGTGGGCCCTGGTGAACTGAGGGGTTAATAGTGGATAGCAAATGTTGCTAAGCAGTGATTGGAGGGCAGGGCTTGGAATCAGTCAATTATGCTTTGATAATATAAGAAGTAAAAGTGATTCACAGGGCCTGTTTGCATATGCATAGCCTGCATTCCCAGACACTACACCACTGGATATATGCCTTCTCACTGAAAAAAGGCTGTCTTACAAGAGAGACGACATATCAGCACTAAAAGAGAGGTTATTCTTCTGATCTTACCTGTGTCTCCCGATCTCTTTTCCATTCCATTTTCTTCTCACAGCTCTCCATCTGCTTTTGTCTCTGAGCTGCAGAGTCAAACCACAGACACTTACACACAGGAACTGCACAGAGCTCAAAACACTGAGAGTGTAAGAAAGGTAAATAGAGTGTTTGTACATGTGTGTGTACCTTTGTATCTCCAGTATATGACCCCAATGAGGACCAACAACAGCAGTAAGCCCCCCACAGCAGCATAAATGAAGAACTTAGAATCCATGGCTGATGGACTGGATACATCTGTATTTGCAAGAAGAAAGAGGGTAAACGTTAATGTATCCCTGTGGGGAACTGGTTAGTACTCTTGAAAATATGTTTGATTGAGTTCGTGAAATGAATGCATGATAACCATGTTGCAAAGACATTGTTGAAGAAGAGTTGGTTGAAGTGACTGGACTGGTTCTGTCATTGACCACTGGAGTAATTGTAGTTTTAGCTGGGTCCACTGCAAGAGACAGATATGATGAGCAGATAATGTTACTCTCCTAAACATATTATACACTTTATACATTGCTGGGGGTGGGCTTTATACATACGAGAATGTTTTCTATGAATGGCATTTAACTGAAGTGGAGGAAAAAGGATAAGACAGCCGGCACCTTACATCACTAAAGGAAAAGAAGCCATTGTGTTACGTGCAATTTGCATATTGAATGTCCAGTCTCTGTGCAATACAATTAAATTAAACCTACTTAAATGGATTAATAATGACTTCAGTCTGCCTTTTTTTCTGTGAAAAACAGCTTTCCTCGAATACCCCTGGCACAGCAGTGGACTTGCCAAAATATCAGCTGTTCAGAGCCAATGGTGACATGGAACAAAACAAGAGAACCAAACAAGTGGGTTTGTGTACTGGTGTAAAAACTGGTTTACTGGTTGTACAAAGGTCACAATGTCAGGAAAGCAGGGGTTTGTGGACAGAATTTCACCTGGCACATTGAAACAGCGTGCTAGCCAGCTAGCCCCTGTTTTCAAATGATTGTTCAACCACCCTTACGCTTCAAGCACCTTTGTGCTTTAAGATCTCCAGTATCAAGGCAATTATGAACCCTGTTCTCAATCCACTTCAGTTTACCTTCAGAGTAAACTGCTCAAAATATGACTTTTCACATGTATACAAAATAAATATCTTTTGAAAATAACATGTCCTAAATGTACCTATTTTAAGTGAGTGGAGCGCTACAATTTATTTTTAGGTTCAATGGTATTTTTCCAACATTCTGTAAGTAATGTTGGCAACCTAAATATTCTGTAACATAAATATTCAAATAAAAACATTGTCCCTTCAATAACAGTACCTTATATAGAACCTCTTAGTACAAAGCCAATTCCAAAACAGTTGGTACAGGTAAAATGCAAATAAAAACAGAAAGCAGTGAACTGTTAACTGTCTTTTATAGGTAAAGGAGAGAATTAATATTTTACCATATCAACTTTATTGATTTTTGTAAATATATGCTAATCCTATGCCTGAAACCCATTCTAGATTATTCTATCAAATAAAAACTGTAGAAGGCCCTGAGATGCATCTTCATAATGTGTCATAAATAGTGTTCAACCAACCACAGACGATTATGATTAAGGGGTTTGATGTGACAGGATGTAAGCATATTCATTTGGGCATTCCAAGAAAACAAAATCATTAACCCTTGCATGTGTCAAACAACAGGAACACAGGGTTGACAAAGGGGCATTCCATTTAGAAAAAACTAGAAAAAAGATCAAATAGATTTAAACCAGAAACTACATTCAACACAAGAAAAATCACAACACAACAAGTAAACATGACTTCACCAAACAACTAATAAACCAACAGCCATTTGTAAGAACACAAGACTAAAGGACTAACAAGAAACAGGTGAACATAATGATGGCAGGGCAGAACTAGGCACCCAAGGTTCCCAAATGGAATTCTATGATGGGGACTCTATGACAATGAAATTTACCCTAGTGTAAATGTTATAGAACTGTAAACCCCATTTCTGGAAAGTTGAGAAATTTTGTAATATGTAATAAAAACAAGAATATGTGACTTGTTAATTCTCTAACCTTTATTTAACTGACAAAAGTATATATATATATATATATATATATATATATATATATATATATAAAAAAAAAGATTTCCAATGTTTTTATTGACCAACATAAATTTATTTCGTAAACATAAACAAATATAAATTTCATGCCTGCAACACACTCAAAAATGGGACAGAGATATGTTCATCACTGTGTTACATCACCTTTCCTTTTAATTACACTTTTTAATCATTTGGGAACTGAGGATACTAATTATTGGAGTTGGAGCAAGTGTAATTCTTGCCCATTCTTGTTTGATACAAGACTTCAGCTTCTCAACACTAAGTGACCATCGTTGTCTGATTCTTCTTTTCATGATGTGCCATATATTTTCAATTGGACATAGATCTGGACTGCAGGCAGGCCAGTCAAGCGCATGTACTCTATTTCTATGAAGCCACTCTGTTGTAGCACATGCAGAATTAGGCCTAGCATTCTCTTGCGGAAATAGCAAAGGATTCTCAGGAAAAGTTGTCAACTTTATGGAGGCATATGTCTCTCTAAAATCCCAAAATACATCTCCACATCAATTGTACCATCACACATATGCAAGTCACCCATGCTGTGGGGGCTGATGCAGCTCCATACCATGACAGATGTTGCATCTTTCACTGGTAACAGTTTAGATGGTCCCTTTTGTCTTTGGCACAGAGAACTCATTGTTCGTTTTTCCCAAAACCAACATAAAATGTGGACTCATCTGAGTCTTTTTGAGATGAGCCTGGGCCCAAAGAACCGGCATTTCTTCATAGAATTGAGGTATGGCTTTCTCCTTATATACACAATAATATATATATAATAACTCACTTTCACAATAGTTTCAAATTGTATTTCTTGATGCAGCAACAGACTGTGTTAAATGACAACAGTTTTCCGAAGTACTCCTGAGCCCATGTGGCTATATTTCAAACAGCGGCATGACAATGTCTCACTAATTGTAGAATATTTCAAAATTGTGTAATTTGAACATACTGAATATACTGTACCTGTACCACTGTTATTTTGTCTCTGTCCCAACTTTTAAGTGTGTTGCACACATCAAATTTAAAGTTTGTTTATATTTACAAAATACAATCAAGTTGGTCAGCCAGAATATTGAAAGTTCTCTCTTTGTACTTTTGTCAGTCAAATAAATGTTCAAGGGAATTAACAGAATCACAAATTCTCATTTTTATTGCATTTTACAAATTGTCTCAACTTTTCTGAAAAAGAGGTTTGTGCATACAGTACCAGTCAAAACTTTGGACCTTCTCATTCAATGTTTTTTTCTTTATTTTTATTATTTTCTAATTTATAGATTAGTATTGAAGACATCAAAACTATGAAGGAACACAGTTTCTTATACAGTTCTTGTACAGAACTATAGAACTGTGTACCAACCCTACCTCCGCACAACACAACTGATAGTGTCAAACACATAAAGAAGACAAGCAATTTCACAAATTAACTCTTGACAAGGCACAGCTGTTAATTAAAAGAATTAACACTTGTTAATTAAAACCATTCCAGGTGACTTCCCCATTAAGTTGATTGAGAGAATGCCAAGAGTGTGCAAAGCTGTCATCAGAGCAAAAGGTGGCTACTTTGAAGAATCTAAAGCATAAAATATATTCTGTTTAATGCTTTTATTTACTATATAATTCCATATGTGTTTTTTGTTCCTTCACAGTTTTCGTGTCTTTAATATTAACCTACAATGTAGAAAATAATAAAAATAAAGAAAAAAAAATGAATGAGAGTGTCCAAACTTTTGACTGGTGCCGTATATACACAAATACAGCAACAATTTTAAGCACAGCCTTACCTGACATGAAGCCTAGGGGCCCCACATAATTTAGGGCCTCTTATTGGCCATTTTCTTTTAAAAGTGAGATTTATTTATCCCCCCTCCACTACCTGGGCCTACCCAGATTGATTACAGGCCTATCCAATCAAATAAGTAAAGAATATTAAGACGATTGTTTTTAAGATGATAAAATTTGATTTGTTTTCTGTGAGCACTGTGAATGTATTATGGCAAATCAAATTATAATGCTCTTCACCAAACTCTGCTGTCTTTTCTCAGCCCACCAATCACTGCACAGCAACTGTTGGTTTCCACCATTGCCTCAATCTTCCAGTTTGTTATAAGTATGCCACTTTGACTTTGAAGCTCCAGTTGTGGTGAAGATGTTAATGAGGATGTTTAAAAGTGATATTTCGTCCAGTAGAGTAATCCATTTTCTACTCATTCAAAGCCAAAAAAAAATCCCGTTTTCTATGAATTTTGTGATGCTCTTTTACTGCAAGGCTGAAATGGAGATGTCAAAGCAAACATCTGATGTCACTTCAATGCATCAAAGGTAAGACATGAATGAACCATAAACATATTTATGCCCACTGTATGCATGTTTTTGCATGCAATGATTAGTTTAAAGGGTTTTTTTTAATTGTGTGCTGTTTTTCCTCAACTATCTGATTTTATCTCAGTCATGTTGTTTTCTATGGGTCCACCAGCTGTGGCAATATGCTTTAGGTTTCTCCCAGTGTTGAAGCAAACAGGTTGATGTTAGTGGGTATTTGTAAAGCATCTGTGTGTCCAGAAAATCTGTTTGTCAGAATCACAGTCTCTCCAGTGCTAATAAAGCTAGTTAGCATGCTAGTGTTGGTCTGGTTACTAAAAACACCATCCAAACTTGCTCAAACTCGTTTGTCATGTTGTCAGACTTTCATCCCACAACTCTGCAACTAAATGTCCTTCTAGCCACTTGGCTTTGAAGTCATTTAGCCCTTTCAAGTACTACAAATAGTTTATGGTTTTTCCTCCTAAACCTTTTTCTTCTTAACCCTGTCTCTCTCTTTCTGAACCCGCGAACTCCTGAACCCAGGAACAGTTTCAAGAATATGGTCTCATATTTAAACTGAACATTCTCCCCTAAAATAAGTAAAATTCAAAATTCATATAATAGATTAATATGTTTACTTGGATATATTCCAACTTACTTTCCAACTTGTACGTGTATGGTTTTAATGGAATAAAACTTTTGGGCATCAGTTTTGTTGGCTGCAGCAGTTATGTGTGCATGTTTACTGAAAACAAAGGATTTGAGTTATTGAATGCTGTGTAACTAGATCCACAGGGTCCAAGTGCACCTGTAGGTTAAAGGCCGACAAGTAGGTTAAAGCACCTCTGCATATATACTCTACGTACACAAAACTACACACACACACACACACACACACACACACACACACACACACACACACACACTTTTTGGTGATGTAAGGCTAACAAAATCTTGTACAGTTGATTCACCACACGCATTGCGCTATGAATAAAAATCTGTGTTTTACCTTCAACAGTTAGTCCAATGTATATGGATCCACTTTTCATAGCATCACACCTGTAATCTCCTCCATCCTCTTCAGTCAGGTGTGATATGAGTAGAGAGAGATTTCCTGGAGAGTGACCATTAACCAGCTGAACTCTGTCTCTGTACTGACCACTCTCACTGGATATTTCTTGCCATGTACCTCTTTTGCTGTTCTTCTTCCAGGTGAATTTCTTAGGTCTTGTGTTTAGGTCAGTGCAGTAGCAGGGCAGCAGTACTGATCCTCTTGTATGTGCTTTGATAGTCAGCATTTCTGTTGTGGTTTCTAGAGTGCAGCCTGCAGAAACACATATAGGTATAAACACTTCACTGCAAACACTATGCATCTGAGAAACTGGCTTTTATTTTTATTTTTAATATGGTTTTGTGGTATGAATGTAACAAGTCATCCACAAGCATTAACTGTTGCCTTTTAAATAGGTCTAGTAAATAATGAATGAAAGACCAAATCAGTCAAATAAGTAATAAAAGGATGTTGAATTCGTTAGATACATTCTAAATTGCAATTACTAAAAATAAGCAGTTTGAAAAAGTTACAGAAGATTTAAAACAGCTGAATGAATTCACTGTTAAACATTTACTGCATAAATAAAGATGCACTAACATAAACTTAATACGTCTGCAATTTAAAACTGTATATTACTCTTGACCTCGCATGAAGTTTCAGCTTAAGTAACTAAGCAGCATAACTATTTCATCAGTATTTCATGTAATTATTTCATCAGTTTGTCATCATTCTAAATTATTCTTGAATCATTAGATTCATTTCAGTACCACTACAAAGGCAGAGAAATAATGCATTAATAATGTGTATCATCACTGTCCAAAAAAACTTGTTTTACAGCATAAGGCAAAGACATTCTTATGTTTTAATGCAAAATTATGTACTTTTCTTTTTAGACAGCAATAATATCTAAAAAGCTTTAAAGATTTACCTTTAACAGTGAGTATGATGTAGATATATCCCCTGTATCCACCACTACACTGATACGTTCTCTCATCCTCTTCAGTCAGGTGTGATATGAGTAGAGAGAGATTTCCTGGAGAGTGACCATTAACCAGCTGAACTCTGTTTCTGTACTGACCACTCTCACTGGATATCTCTTCCCATTTGTCTTTGTTTTTGTGCTTTTTCATCCAGGTCACTCTCTCAGGTGTGGTGTGTAGGTCAGTGCAGGAGCAGGGCAGCAGTACTGACCCTCCTGTGTATGCAATAATGTGTTTTGTCTTTCCATGGTCTTTCAATATGCAGCCTGCAGAAACAGACTAGTTAATGGCCTTCACTCTCAAAACCCTCTGAATATGTGGAAGTGTTTTACTCATATTGTTTTGTTTTCACTTGAATAACATATGCTCTAAAAGAAATAGGCTTTTACTTGAAATGCATTGTTAGAATAACTTATACTTGATCAGCATAAGCCCAGTTTCTAAAAATCATTTGACATTTACATCAGACATTCGAAATGACTGTCTCATGTCAGTTTGAGCAACAAAAAAGTTCTATGAGTGAAGATAATCAGTCGCCAGAATGATTACTTGCAATAGATTACATCAGTAAGAGATGTATTGGTTTACTCACCTTCTGCAACATGGAGCACAAGCAGCAGATAAAAACTGTTCTGCATTCTTCCTGAATCACAGAACTTCCTCACTACATACAGTAACAGCACTGCAGCAACCACTACAACAACCACTCTACTTACTGATCTGCCAGCTACACATATACTACACCACCACAATACTTCTGCAGAAATCTGTTCAAACCTACAGTCTCCCAGACACAAATAGCATAAAAAACTAATCCTCTGACTCTCTAAGCAGGACTTCGTCTGCATTCAAACACTTTCATGTTAAAGAGGAAGTGTGTTAACACTATGTCAGCTTTCTCTCTCTGTCACTCACCCACATCAACCATCGTGATGCAGCAGCAGCTGTGTCTTCTTCCTCTTTCTTCTCTTGCAACACACTATGCATAATCTCACATGTAGTTATTTGTTGCTAAAGACACACCCTTTTTCTCTTTCTCTCTACACTTTCACTCTCACTGTCCACTTTATTAGAAACTACTTCCTTTTTTAGCACCTCCTGATTTTGCCAAGTCGCAGCTGTCCTGAGGGCAACAACTGTGATGAAGCCCTCAGGCCAACAAAGCACATCAGCCAATCAAAATCTCTTAGCGTCTGTGACATCATCAGTGTGAGCCTGTTTTCTTTTCAAAAGAAATCTGAAAGAAGGAGCAGAGCTAAATCAGGAGCTGCAAGCAGAGCTAACCAACCTGCTGAAGTTTAGAATCTTAAGGTAGGTACACTTATATCAGACTCCTGCTTATTTTCTTCTACTAAATTGGTAGTTAGGCACAGATATGTGTAGGTTTTTTATTGTTTTTGGATAATTTTTACCACGAAAGATAGCAAATGTAAGCTAGCCAGCTAAGTGAGCAGTTAGCCTGTCTTACAATGAAAATTATCAAATGTTGTCTACTTAGAACAAAAGTTAACATGCTCCACAAACGCAGAGCAACGTAATACTATCTGTAAATTTCTAAATTATATGTAAATTTGTTAAGGTATCTATCTTAATGTAGCTAATCTATGTAATGTGTTTGGTATTGAGAGTTAAGTGTTTTCCATCACAAAAAAACAGAGATTATTTTCTCATTTGGGCCTTTGTGGTTCATTATTGCAAGAAATATTATTTCTATGATGTGAGAAAGCAAAACTGAAACAATTAGGCTATAATAGCATATTAATAGGTTGTTAATTAATATCTCCTGGCACATAGACTTTGTGATGCCATGTGTCTAAACAAAGTTTCCAGGGCGTTTGGATAAAAATCAGCCCCAAAATATAACAGATTTTTTTTCCGTACTTGGATGAATTTATTTTGTATTTGTCTGTGCATATTTTTATGTCCCTACCTTGGATGTTTTTTATGTCAAAAAGCTCTATTTTTCTCTCTTTTGAATTGAGAACCAAGTTGCATTCAAACTTCCAGTAGCATCCAGAAGTAGTCCAGGCACGTTTTTGTGGTTAGACTAAATAAATAAATAAATAAATAAATAAATAAATAAATAAATAAAAGACTTGCATATAGTTTGTTGGCCTTTGGTGTCATCTGATTGTAGTTTTGGTAACTTGTTGACCCCAAAATCCTACACTTAGAATCCTTTGAGAAACTGTCCTCCTCATTGTGTGTGCAAGTATACATGTCTGCACTGCCCCAGTGACAGTTTAGTTCTATTTCTCTGAGAGTGTATATTTACTCTTACAGGACAAAACTGATGCATATTTTTTACAAACTACAGTGTAAATTCAGTACAGGCCATCACAGCTATGACAACTGTGTACTGTACCTCGTGTTGAAGAGAGGCAGAGGCGTCATTTTCCTACCAGCATTTGGTTGGTGCTCCTCCCCTGATCATGGTCAGCTGGTGCTCATTCAGGGAGAAGCATGAAAACTGACTCTCTCTGGCATCATAGAAGAACAAGGACTCTGGCCTCCCAGCCACACTTACAGAGAAATTCAAAGTCAAGACAAGTCAAAGTTTATTTATATAGTGCTTTTTACAACAGGTGTTGTCACAAAGCAGCTTTACAGAAAAATCCAGTTCAAGTTCAAGCCCCCATGAGCATCGCCAGTGGCGACAGTGGCAAGGAAAAACTCCCTAAGAAGGAAGAAACCTTGAGAGGAGCCAAGACTCAAAAGGGAAACCCATCCTCCTCTGGTCGATACCAGATAGCAAAAAGCATTAGTATAAAATATTAGTGTCCAAAAGGGGGAAAAACAGGTAGAGCAATGGTTAATTAGATAGTTTGGGAAAGAAAGAGAGCAACAGAGCGAGAAACACTCTAAAAAGCACTGAAATGAATAGGAATTCAAATAGATGTATGTGTAAATAAGGCACTCTTGGTCACTCACGCTGGTGTTTGTGTCTTTGAGGCTTCTTTAGGTTACCCGTCAGTGTAGCTCAGCCCCCACCACCAACTCCACCCCCACCCCCCCCTCCCAATGACCACAGTGACACTTGCTTCTATCATAGCTAACACAAAATATTACTATATTATTGTAACTACAAATCAGTATAACACTGCTGAGAAATGGCTACATGTCCATATATAAAGTATTTTATACTGCATCATGGAGTGCCAGGCAGTATGGAGGACTGCAAGAAAAAAAAAGAGCTACTAGTGAAGCATATGTGCAATAGCTCTCCAGGAATACCAGCAGGACTGGAGACTGTTGAAGGATATAGTGGTAAATGATAGTTCAAGGTAAATAAAGAGAAAGCAAGTTAAGACATAAAATAAAAAGCTAAAGACAGACGGCTCTAAATTAAGAACACATCAGAAAGATGAAGTGTAGCTCTGAAGTGTATGACTTCTGTTTATTATGCTGCTTCTTGTGTCTACTTGAGTGTGCTGTGAAATGCTGCACCAAAAGAGGAAACAGTAAGGGTTCACATGACTCAGAGTCCACCATTTCACTGTGTGTGAAAGCTGCTGATAAAATCTCTAAAAGTCAGAAGAGTTCCGGTCTAGCTGATTTAAACACAGCTCCTGTGAGCTGCACGGACATTAGAGTGGGTTAGACTCCAGTGAAGAGCTGCTGAGAGAGCTGTGTACTCAGTGTGGTATACAGGGCTAGTGTAGTGCTGGGTGTGGAGCTGTCAGTGTGCTGTGTGTTGTTTTACTAGTGAGAATGTTGCTGACTTTCTATCTTCTCTTCATTGGGCTTCATGTCTCTGAAGGTGAGTGACTTTTTTTTATTTTGTTTCTGAGTTACAGACGTCATGCAAATCTACATTTATGTGCCGGTCAAAAATTACAATTACAATGAGTTGCATTTTTTGACAGTAGAAATGTAACACAGACAAACACAGGATTATATTGACATATCATACATACATGTAACATGTATGTTGCAGTGAGAAAAAGTACAAAATGGTAACTTTACGGGAGAAAGAAAAAAATAATCTTTATTTTTATTGTTAGTCAATGTAATGAGATTTTTTCCATATATTTCCATTCATTCAGAGATTTTTGCATTATGTAAAGGACGACAACAATACGCATATGTAACTGTTCTGTTTTTCTTTTCTTTAGTTATAAAAATAACTTTGTTTTTTGTTTTTCATTAAAAAGTGTATAAGAAATACAAGTGTAAAATAGAGTATATAATTAATCTGATCTTACTGATGTGTGTTTCTGCAGGCTGCATTCTGGAGAACAGAGAAGAACTACTGAGTATCACAGATCAAACAGGAGGGTCAGTACTGCTTCCCTGCTACTGCACTGACCTACACACCACACCTGAGACATTCAGCTGGAACAAAGGCAACAGAAAAACAAACGCATGGGAAAAAATATCCAGTGGGAGTGGTCAGTACAGAGACAGAGTTCAGCTGGTTAATGGTCACTCTCCAGGAAATCTCTCTCTACTCATATCACACCTGACTGAAGAGGATGAAGGAGTTTACTACTGTGCTGTTAATGATGCACATTTATACATCAGACTCACTTTAACAGGTAAAACACTATCTCAGTTTATATTTACTGCATTTATATTTATATTTATTATTATATATTTTTATATTTACTGCATTTCACATCTTAAAAATCAAGTTGATCCAACTCTATGTTTTTAAACATTCCACCCCCTCATCACTGTTCACCTACAGTCATAAGCAGAAGTTTGTGCACCCTGGTCAAATAATATGTTTTGTTTATTGTTGATTTTTTTAGTGAAAGTAAGTAACACATCCTCTACAGCGAGCACAACTCTGCACATTTTACTGCACAATTACTATTTATTTGCTAAAAGGAACATACTGTGGGGAAAATGGGCCTGTGCAAAACTTACGGCATGTTTTATATTTTATGTTAAATCTCAAACATGCAAAAGCTAAAATATATGTAATAAACAAAAACTAATTAGGTTAAATGCATTTATGATGCTGTTATAGAAATATTTGTAAACATAAAAAAAAACAACTCTCCCACAAACATATAATATACACAAATTCATTTGCAGTATTACTGAGTGCTTTATTTCTAGCAAATTATTAAAGATCATCATATTAATATTAATTATAACAGAAAATGATAAAATATTATTAAAAGGATTTTACCGCAGTCTTTAATGTACACACTAGTCTAACTACTTCAAACACACAATTGTCCCAAAAGCCTGATGGTAAGCAAAAAACATTGCAGCTGAACCTGAGATGTTACTGTAATTGTATTTTTTGAGAAGTTGACTGACAAAAGACCTGAATGACTTTGACAAGGGCCAAATCCTTTATTCTTCCAATATGTTGAACAAAAATATGCAGAGAATGCCATATTTAACCCTTGTGTGGTGTTGATGTTTTTGTTACTCATTGGTCTGGTGGCCCCACTGCATTATTGTTTTTTTTTTTGTTTAATCACAACCATAACAATTTTGGTAAAAATAACAGATGTTTAAAATATCACAATTGTCCAGCGTAGGGTTCTCAATTAGCAGCTGTAGCCAGTCAGCAGCCTGTCCATTTTGTCCATCCTCACACACACATACATACACACACACACACACACACACACAAACACACACACACTAACATAAAGGCCATGTAGGAGGAGAACAGAGTGAAGGACACAGCAACTCCACACTGTTACTCTCTGTGGGTTCAGCCCAACACTACATGTGTGATATAAATGTGTAGGGGGTGAACAGAGTGAAGACATTTAAAATGTGTTCTTTTATATGATCTTTACAGAAAATGAGCAAAGGCCAAGAAATCTGAGGTTAAAATAACAATAAATCGCAACATTTTTTCTTTTGGTAAACACTAAAAATGAGGCCCACAGACCTGAACACCACACAAGGGTTACGTTTA